GAGAGTATCAGAGCTGAGCCAAAAAGTTGAGCACGTTATTTCGGGACCTTCTAGTCTTAGAGTTACCTCTATGTTATTACTATGTTTACCGGAAATTATAGGTTTTCAAATCGTCAAATCGTCGGACATCAGTTGATTTGTTCTACTAGATCAAGCAAGACTGCAATAATGTCTGAGGTTTCGAAAAATTTCCAATCAGATTCAAAGTGTCTATGTGGATCATGCATTATCTATTTCCGAGTAATCCATATGTTCAAGATTCTCCAAATCGTCCTGCAGTTCAGATGATTTGTTTAACTAGATCAAAAAAGACTGTGATAATATTGACAGCATCAAAATATCGATTTGGAAATCCTAGAACAATTGGCATACACTGAAATAGATTTCGATACTACAGATATTGAATTAAAAAAAAAGTAGAAAAATAATCTGATCTCCAAAATGATTTCAGAACCTACAGCATCTTGTATACATAGAAATAGGTCGGACACGATCCACATAGACACTTTGAATCTGTTTGGACATATTTCAATACTCCAGGCTTTATCACAGTCATGGTTGATCTAGTAGCATAAATCTTCTGAACTCCAGAACAATTTGAAGAACTTAAAACATCTGGTATACATGGCAATAGTTCATGCATGATCCACATATACACTGTGGACTTATGGAATTGAGATAGTTTCTCGATTATTTGAACCGGTACAAAATTGAGTGCCAAATAAACAACAAAATTGATGACAGCAAAATAATCCGGGACGGAAAGGTTACGATGGATTCCACAATTTTTGTGACAGCACATCAGTCCCTTCGCGATTTTCAAGACTAAAAGTTCAAATCCGCGAAATTCGCGAAATCTGCGCCTGTTGTAACAGCCCTGGATTTGTGTACGGTGAAATCATGGATAGTATTAATGTTTTCTACTCGATTGAACAGAAATAGGTGATTACGACGAACAAGCGCTGTACCCTACGACGACAAATGTAGAGCAAATTTCCAGAGAATTGTGAAGAATTCCCTTCACAATTCTTTGGAAATTTGCTCTACATTTGCTGTCGTAGGGTACAGCGCTTGTTCGTCGGTAGGAATTCCCCTAAAGAATTCAAGCCATGTACTCGAGAAACTTTTCAGGAAATAACGGTGGGAATCACAAATTTATTAAGGGAAATCCTGGAAGGAACTCGCATGTTAAAGATCACGAGTTGAAATCTCACCCCGGACAAGTCACAAATGATCTAACATAGCGGCGTCGGTGGTGTAGTAGTAAGCGTGATTGCCTCTCACCCCAGCAGGCCTGGGTTCAATCCCAGTCGGCGCCGCCGGGTTGTTCTGAGGCATAACATCTCTGATCACGCCTTCCTTCGGAAGGGAAGTAAAGCCGTTGGTCTCCGGTTCATGGGTTGATGGGTCGATAGGTAGGGTCCAGGTGTGGGAGCTGCCTTCCTGGCGTCGGTAGCATTGGTGCTCAGCACGGAAAACAAGATCGACGGTAAACAAATCAAGCAAAAAAAAAAATGATCTGACATATTTTATGGTGACTTTAATACAAAAACAAATGTTTGAAGGCATTTGGAACTATCATAAGGATAATATTTAAAAAAAAGTAAAAGGCTGTATCCAGTAAGTAAGAGGTTGTAGACACGACCGTAGATTTGACGTAGAATTGAGTGCTCAATATCAATATTCGGGAATAGGGAAAACACTTTTTCCCATCACGGAAACGCCTTGTTTTCTGATGCCAAAATTACGCATTTTTGTGAACAAAACGATTATTTTTTTGGTTTATTCAATGGGTAAAAAAAACTCAACATCGATTGGAAGAATTTCATGCTAAAATTTCCAATCGCGAGACATTCGCGATCAATCATATAAATTTGGGACTTTTTACGCATTTGACCACACAAGTTTGGTTGCTGGGTACATTATCAAAGAGCATTGAAATTTAACTCTTAAACAACAATAATTTATGGTGTTCCTGAAAAGGACCGTTTTATCGTGATGGTTAAGTAATGCTGAGCTATTAGGGTGTTCAACACGGATGAGACTGGCGAGCCGTATGTTGTTTGGAACGGGAGTGACGCGCTTGACATAGATGGTCCACAACCACTCACGACGAGCTACTGAATCCAATCAGTAGCGGTGCACTTTCTTCCTCCTTCTTCAGTGAATGGACGCTCCTGTGGGATGCAGCTCGCTGCTTGTGGGCAGCCTTTCGTTGTGTACTGAAGAACAATGTTCAACGCAATGCGCCGAAAGCACTGCTGCTGCTGCTGATGATGATGATGACGACCGACCGGACACCACCACACACAATGATTGAATAAGCACCGTTCGGCGAGACCGGATGGAATTCAATTTTGAAATCTGTGTTAGGGAAAGCGGTGGGTGATTATTTTGATCACCATTGCAACAGTTGGACATTTGTGTAATTCTCAAAAGTGACCTATTGAAAATTGATTAAGTGTTAATTCGTAGAAAAATTTCCAATCGATTGACGTGTTTAGAATTAAAATCCGTCAGCTATTGACTGAGTTTAAAGTAGTCAAAACCTGACCACTTTTCGTAACGTGGACGATTTTTTTTAATTTCTTCGCGAATCTAAATGTATCGTGAAAAAATGTCCAATAAAATAATTTTGTTAATTCAGACAATGAAAATTGTACATAGAAATGCAAGTCCAAGATTAAAGTTTTTTTTCAAGGTTCTGAAGCTTTGATTAGCAAGACCGTGATCCTGGTCTAAGAAAACTGTTCAATATTATGGGAAAACAATTCAATATCCCAGGCATGTATAAATGTTTCAGATTTTTATTTATATAAGGTGTCGTCCCTATATTATGTCACACATTTAGGGGAGAGGGGGGGGGGGTAGGGTTTGAAAACTGTGACGAGCCATACAAAAAAAAAATTAAGATTCATACAAAAAATGTGGGGGGTTGAAAATGGGCCAAATTTGCGTGACATAATTAATGGACCATCCCTAATGCATTCCAGGCTCATTTGTTGCAGCTTTGCGGAGCCGATATTCATTGCTTAGATCACAAAATTACTTAAAACTAACGTTAGTAAAGCGGGGGCCGAATACACGCGGCTATCTCGAGGTTAGGGGTAACAAATTGTAACAAATGGAAGGCAGGGTAGGGATTGAGAACACAAGGTTTGGAGAACAATGTGCTCTTGATCTCGAACTAAGCGACATACTGATGAAAAAGACATACATGGGGTACTATGTTTTAGATTCTGTGCACAGCATTCAAAGTGTTTTTATGTTACTTCATACGCGAAGTTCGCGATTTTTAGGTAGTGATGAAACGTCGTTAGAAATATTTCACAGCCGCAGTCAGTTATGAGCAGAAGGAGGACGCACACCTTTTGCCTGTAGACTTGAAGACATACTTCAAGTCTCCGCGTACATCGTATGGGTTAGGCAAAAGATGTGCGTCTGACTTTAAAAACTGTCGCCTTAATGGCCCTTCGCTTATTTTCAACTTCTATTCATTTTTCATACTGTCGTACTCTATCGGAACTATCCTCCTGCCTACCCTCTTCTAAAGATCATTCACTAGTTAATAAATTATCACACTAAAGCTTTATGTTAGCATTTCCAACCAACTCTAAAAGTAGACAGTTTAGGAGGGGGGAAGCGGTTGACAATTATCCACGGCCCATACAAATTTTAAAATTTTTGTATGGTCCATTTTCTACACAGAGCGAGGGGGGAGGGTCAAGAATAAAAAAAACTCTTTACGTAGTTATTGAACAGCGCCTACCAAATGTTCAAAATGTCGGACATCAGACACACAATATAATTTTGATATCACATCAAAGTGAATGCACTTAAATCGTGTCAAAAATATGGTGTAATACTACTTGCCAAAAAGAACAAAATATTATCATTAATACAGTGTATGAACTGACATTACGCTGCTTTTACTGCATTTGTTTATTTTTGTGGCCATTAAAATTACATGAGATTTTCGACATGATTGAAGTGCATCCTCTTGGATGTAATGTTAAAATTTATTTGTTGCTGTGCATCGAAAGACTGTGTTAACTTTGAAAACATTATCAAAAAATCACATATCTAAGGCTTAGGAATTGTTTAGGATTTAACTGAGATCATGTAAGGCAATTTTGAATGATCTGGACTAGCCAAAACTCCGAGATTATGAGACATTGCTATTCATTTTAGACCTCACACTTAATTTTTGAAATTACTTGCTAAGGAAAAGTTCAGACCTCCGAGCATGATGAAATATTCAAGGTTAATATTCCAGATATCGTACTTGACATTTGTATTAGAGAAGGGTGAGAAAGAAATGAAGAGATTCTGTGAAGGGTGAGAAAGAATGGAAGAGACAGCCCTATGGGGTGTACGCAATGGTGACGTAGGACTACGTGGTCTTATATCAAATATCTTATTCGTTATCTGCAGCAGCAGCTTGTGTTTTGTGTAGGATTATGAATTCGACACCACCACACACGGTGATTGGAACTGAATCCGATCAGTGGTTGAGGGCCTTGATAGCTAGCTGCTTGCGGGGAGCCTTTCGTTGTTAACTGGAGAACAACACCACTCACCACGCGGGGATTGAATTAACCGTGAGACGGGATGGCATTCAACTTTGAAATCTGTGTTAGGGAAATCGAGTTTCGCAGGCAATCGGTGATAATTTTAATTATAATAGTAACAGTTGCATATTCATGCAATTTTCAATAGTGACATTTTGAAGAATGATCAAGTATTTAATTTAGCAGATGCGTTGAAATATTTCTAATCGATTGGTGATAAAATGATTGAAATTGGCAGCTGAGTTATTAACGTTCAAAATCTTTCATAATTTTGTTACATGTTCCATTTTAGGTTTTCACAAAGTGTAGCCCCATATAGAAATCACAGACATAGTCCTACGTCAAAATAGCCATGTAGAACGATAGATGCATATTAAATTTGAATATGTATATGTCCAAACTTGTTCTGGTCGCAGTAATAATCCTTACCTTGAAACTCCTCAACTCAAGCGTGTGTTTCGTGTATCAAGTACATCCGGATTTTCCTTCCTGTTTGTTGAGTATGTCCTTATCAGCTTCTGCTTCGGCACGCTGTTTCTATTAGTCCAGTGGTAGTCTTGCAGTTTCACTACTTCCACTTTGAACATCCAGCTGCTGATCACACAATAATCAAAACAGACCTTCGACAAAGACGGATACTCACACCGACAACGACTGCGATAATAACAAAACCATTAACCAGCTTATTTCTGCTGTTGCAGTAGCTCGTGCTGCCCACAGTTTCCACTTCTCAGGGATATTTGTTCTTCGGCTCTACTGTGTACTGAACTTACGTTATTCGTCCCTTTCTCTTGTGTTCTTCATCGGGCTCTAGGACAAGCCTTAGTGCATTCGTCTGTTTGTAGCACCAGACGCACAGGCCTTGGTGATATGCTGAGCGTTGTTCAAAAATGTGGGTTGTTTTAAATTATTTTATAATTTATGAAATGAGCAAAAAATAAATCGCAATGCATGACTCTGAAAACACGTTTTAAAATTTTTAACATTAATTTTGAATATAAATTATACAAATTTTATATGCAACAACTATAAAAATTAAAAGTGGCTCAACGTTCTTTGTTCATGCGCCGACCATGTGTCATTCTTTCAGCTAAGCTGTCGGAGCTCATGAGTCAAACATGTTTTCTACACTCTAGCACACAAAGCGGAAATATAGAGCAACTTGTGAAAAGTGCCCATGTGCTAAAATGTAAACAATGGCTTCAAACGACGATGAAGGCTTATGCTATGTTCATACCTTGGAGTTATAACATCAAGGAAGCCTTTTAACATTGTATATATAATACTGTAGTTCGAACAAGGCATTACTCTGACAAACCAACAGCAGCATCTGGTAGAAGAAGTTTGCACTATCGTTCTGTGGTTCGTGAACAATTACTTTTGTTTACATTTGGCACATAGGCCATTTCCACATGTTGCTCGAGAAATATGCAGCCTGTCCGGAGCTCAGAATCACAAGAGAAAAACTGGTTCGAATTAGCACTAGCCAACAGCATGCACCAGACACGGCACACTCACACACGGCACTTTTATTTATTTTTGTTGTGCTAGGGCTGGGGCACAAATAATATGCTTCCTTGCTTCTCCGCGCCTAGCCATGCCGGCTCGGCTGCATCAGCAAGCTTCACTGCACTACACGTTGACGATGTTTTCAATATTTCTCTATCAATATTTTTGCTTGCTCACTTGTTATCTCGGTCAAAGCACTTATGCTGTTGCTGCACTGCACACACTATCTTCTCGAACAGATGATTTCATACAGCCATTCTTCGCCGTCGAAAGCAATCTCCAGATTTCGAGACGGCTAAAACGAACGGCACGTGTATTGCAGCACGCAGCAAACAAACACACTTGCACACCCCCACACGTTTCGTCAGAAAGCACCGATGCACTCGCAACAACAGCAGCTGATTTCTGTTGTGGGCAAACTGGTTCGTGGTTATTTTTGGCGTCTCTCCTTGAAACAAACTCACGTTAAGACGAAGCTAACGCCGGCGGCAGTAAAAATGATACGGGCAATAATCGCGGAACTGCACTACAACAACAATCGATGAACGTTCTGACCTCTGACTTATTACTTACATTACCCACACAATGTGGCTCGACGCGACGCGGTTTCAACGAATTGACGGTGAAGATCAACGCTCACTTTGTTTGTTGTTTGTTATTGACTCCTTCCTCTCCGTGAATCTGATGCTGCTGCTCTCCAATCTAGGCACCACATGCACTCCTACTCCTATTGGGTGGTGGGATGTTGTACACTGCGCGAGAGCAAACGATCCAAACACGGCAACGATTCGAGGCAAACTGAATGCTGACAAAGAATGGGCAGTTCAGAATTGCATGCACCGTACCGACCCACAATGTACCGACCGACCAGAGTGCGGTATATTGGTAGAGAACCGGACGGGCAACGGCGTCTATAGAGGACCGGCAAGTGGCGGTGAGAGGCAAATCTGAGTGCGCGCACTTCGGCAATTTCCGCGTGAACTCTTGCCGAGCGGCAGCATGGTGTTGACCGTGATTACACCCACCTCAAATTTTACGCGGTCTTAGTATCCTTTTGTTTCATATTCGTGTTTGATGCTTGATGGATCTGGGTGTCAAAAAATAAAAATTTCCAGCCTCACCACAGAAAAAGAATATTAAAAAAATGTACCCGCGTAAAAAAGAATTGGCTGTAGTTAACTGTTGTGAAAGGTAGAAAAAGGAGAGGCATAACAGAGACAGAGAGGTACCGTTGTTTGAGGATGGAGTTTTAGCTGATTCTCCGTTTCCTCAATTTCTGGCTGCCTGATCTTTGGTAGTAAGAATTATCACCACAAATGGTAGTTTTATTACCAAAAATCAGATATCAAGGAATCAAGAAAAATCATTACCAGCTAAACTTTCATCCGCAAATAGCGGTACCTCTCTGTATTCGATGCTCAAACGATGTAGGGAGGTTTTTAGTACAAGAGAGCGAATTTGCAGTGGCATCCGAGCGTTGGAGACGTTGGCTGGCTTTTGGTGGGTGGTGGAGACGCGTTATGTCCTACAAATGTTTAACACAGCTTTCCCCGAAGAAAGCGTTACCCACTGAGTTCTACCTACCGATTTTTCTCGACGATTTTTCAACCAATCGCTCTGATTGTCTGCGAGTGACTTGTTCTCCATTGATACTATACTCACATGCAGAAACCCCGCTGAGAAAAAGCGGCGGATAGAACTCTGTGGGTATCGCGTTCGTCGGGTCAGGGATGGATCGCTCTTTTGGGACTTTTGACGTAGGACTACGTCTTTCTTTACTATACAGGGGGTCACATTACGAAATCGAAAATGAGGCATGTAACGAAAATGGGGAAGTTTTCAAACGCATATTTCTCAAAAGCATTAATAGGAAATATGTCATGCAATATGTCATTCGACAGATAATTTACCCAGTAATTGTTTGATGTATAGTTAAAATAGTGACACTAGTTAAACAATTAAGACACTTAACTAAAAAAATAATAATATTTCACGAACTAATAAGAATAGCGGACGGATGGGATACATCTATATTATCTCGTACGAACATCACATTCCAGCTAATGCCTAAATTTGCCTCCTGCAGCACTTTCTGGCAGACGGTCAATGTTTTTTTTTATTTGTCGTTGTTGTTACATTGATTATCTTAAACACTTGTTCACTTAAATTCAACCAGCTTTTTTTTCCTTTATTTAACGTCGGTCTCTGTTCCGCAATCAAGTGCCAATCACCGACGGACATCGATTGCTATCCATTGACGGCAACCGAATGTGCAGGAAGGCAGCTTCCACACCTGCGTAGGATATCGCACCCATTCACAACACACATGGGCCGGGACCAACGGCTTTACTTCCCTTCCGAAGGAAGACGTGACCAGAGATTTTTATGCCTCAGAAAAATCCCACCGACCTCGGCTGGGGATTGAACCCAGGCCTATTGGTGTGTTTAAAAGCAGTCACGATTACCACTACACCACCGGCGCCGGCATATTCATCCAGTTTTGTCTTAGTACAATTTGTGTGAGCATATAAATAGTTTTACATCAATGGACATTGTTAAGTCGATAGTATCGCAATGTGTATTGTACACAGTCATCATTTGGCATAGTTCGTATAGGATCGGAGCTCACTTATAACGCTAGAATAGGGGAAGAGGAAGAGCAGCCGAAATGTACGCCCAAAAAAGAGTCCCCAAAATTGGCGTTGACGGCGACTCTGTAGCTCTTTACTCTTATGGTAAAAGTCAGACTGTACATGAAGCATAAGCATGACGGACTTCATACTATCCTCTCACTCCACCGAAAATTACCATAAGAAACTGTCAATCTTTGCTCGAAGGGACGATTTTTCGACGGTGCCGTCAACTCCAATCACTTCCACCATCAGTTGCTGACAGATAGTCGAGCTTGTCGGAACTACCAGATAACGTCAGAGTAAAGGGAAAGAAGGAGCAGAGGAAAGGGCTCTTCACACTACACCGTACAGAGTCTGGGCCGGATGGAATTTGCGTTGGTATGAAAGAGGTACCATAATTATAGCTATCCAAGTAACAATTTAACAACCTTTTGACTTTCACTCTGATTTATTGTGGTTTTATAACGGCAATAGGCAATCTTTTTAGTTTAAATACAGCATTTAACAGTGCAAAACATTCTTCATTAGTAGTTCAGCGTTATGCTGTTTTAAAAACCTTTTAAAGTCTGATGAGAAAATCAGAAAGTGTCTGATTTAAAAAATGAATTTAATGCAGCACTCTATCCCTTTATAAAACTGTTCAGTAAATCAATTGGTTTTTGTTTTATTGATGTCACGACAAAATTCTCCATAAAGGTGTTTTATCATTATAAAAGCAATTATGAAACCGTTCGGTTTCAAACGGGATCAAAAAGCATATATTGATGAGTTTTAGTGTCAATGAAGTGTATCACAAAACCTCCCACTGTTTACAAATAAAACTAAAAAGATGGATCCACCTAGAGACAGAGAAAAACATAATCGAGAGGGGCATTCAAATGCAGAGTCACTAGGAAATACGAAAGGATAATCGAGTAATAATTCTAGCAATGCTGTCGATGGAAGAGAAAAGGAATCCAATTCCAGAACTTTCTTCAACAACAACAGAGCATCCGACTGAGGGGAGCGAAGTGAATGCGGTTTACGAAGCACTGGAAGCCGTCAAATTAAACGCTTAGAATTGGTGGAAATACACAGCATATTGTCAATGGCAGCCTTCTCCAGAAATAACGTTGCGATGATGATCCGAATAGCATCAGTGCCAAACTGGGACTGCGGAAAACTGCTGACAGGAAACTCATCCGGAAGAAGGAAAACTTTTCGGGAACGATTGAGCTTCCACCTGTTCCAAGTTACGTAGACTCACTTCCTGAGTAACTGCTTCCAATAGATGAATTGCCTTTATAATGGATGACACACAACTTGTTGATCCAGCGCTGGAGTAGAACATCGTTGCAATGATCGCACAACAAAACTATCGAAAGATAAACAAATTTTGACGTTTAACTTTTTCCAGGCAACGTTGTCACAATTAATGCCGTCATAAAACTAAACGGAATAGGAACAAGCAAAATGGTTTCAGATAAAAAACAGTTCAGTTTGAAAATTATCTTCATAAAAGCCGTATTAAAATGTTTTGCATTTGTTAGCGATTTCATGAAATCAAAACAGCTTTTTGACAAATGGCTTTTGGAAAATTAATGTTTATGCTATCGTCATATTGTTATTATTCCATTTGCATTTTTACAATCTTCGTTTTTAAAGTTTTTCCTTTAAAATAACTTTATTCTCATCAATTCGTCAATCAGCAGTAATATAAATTACGAAAATCATCAAATTTTCTCGGCTGGGAGCAATGATTAACATAACAAGTAACTATATTTTGTTTCAGAAATTAAAAATAACTAGTCAAATCAACGTTTTCCGAAGGCGGACTTATTTTTTTCGATCTTCCGAAGCACATTTCACATTAGATTTAATCTGTCACCTAAAAATAGACCACAATATGAGTTTCGATAATTTTAGTAATTATTTCACTTTAATAATGAGGAAATTTATGAGGATTTTTTGACAGATTCATTTTTGAACAATGAACTTGGCAAGGTCGGACGATATTTATGTATCCCTTTTCATCTTGATTAATGCTTTATTTTTAAGGCGCTTAGCAAACGTCAAAGGCAAATGGCACAAGTATTGATGCCAAATGGCTTTTATTGTAGTTTTAATAAGGATTTCAAATGGTTCTCAATGCATTCGTCATATAACCTTTTTGCAGCAAGTCATTCTTGAAATGTCTCGATAATGCACTCTTTTGAACCTTCTTCATGGTGGGCCAACTAGACAGATTCTAGTCTTAATGAGGTTTTGGTGGATGTAATAAAGGCAAAACTATCTTAAACAGGATTTTATGAATGTGGTTTTATAGAAGCCTTGTAGTATGTTACTTGGGTAGTTTACTCTCTCATACCCCGGTAAATACCGATCCAAAAAACTTTTACCAAATCGCAGTGAAGAAAGTCGGAACTCGGTGATAACGTTTAACAGAACGAGAGGAAGAGTAACGGAAATCTTCATACTCCGTTCGGCTGTCAAATCGCTTCCACCATCTTGTTCAGCTATTTGGGAGAAATCACGTTTTCAGTCATTGTTTGCATTTGGCTCATTGACCCTGGTCCGACGTTCAGGGCGTCCATAACCATTAACCTGCAGCACTCCATGAGGGCATCTGATTGAAGCCATTTGGACGGGGAGAGTGAGAATGCCAACTCCTCATTGCTAAAATATCGTGAATAGAGGATGGGCTCTTCTCCCCATTCTTCTTCTGGGGCATCCTTCTGTTCGATGGCTTGTTTTTTGACCGATTGCATGATCTTGTTATTGGAAGGAGATTCTCATTTATCCCGTAGATGCGCGTTTGCGAATTTGCTTACAGATCTACCCAAACCGTTTTTGGCCCTTCATAAAATGGCAGGTTAAGTACAATTAGAGGTTATTAAGCTTGATCAAGTCTAACAGTAACGACAGCCCACAGCTGTCTTGCAACATTGAGTGGTAGTTCCATATCATCATCATCATAAGCATTGACCTATAGCACAACGTTATTCTAACTGCTATGGATCGTGGCTGTTGGTGTCTAGTATCATGAACGTCCATCCAAGGCCATTTTTACCACTTGTAGGGGCTCTGGCTTTTTTAACTCTTTGTCTGTACCCTAGGGGTAAATTTGACCGTAGACCACTTTGAAAGGCTGTAACTGCTTCATTTGTCGGTGAAT